CATTTCAGCCAATGAATTTGATAAAAGTTAGTCACGCACTGCCTAGTGGCCCCTAAGTGTCATCTCTTAAGTGCAAGCCCCAGGCAAAGGAAAAATCGTGGAGGAATTTACTCAACCCTTAATTGCAAGGGCAGGGGGATTGCCTTCATTCTGAGCATCTACCGTGCACCTGGTTTACCTCTTATGGTTTTATACTAATTACTTCATGTAATTCTTGAAACCACTCTATGACATGTTATTTATTTTCCCTTTCAAACCCCAAACACCACTCCTTAAACACCTCTGCTTAATACAAATTAGTGACTCACTAGATATTATTTCTATCATGGACAAAGAGTGAACAATTTTTCAGTTGATAACAAAAAATTTCCTTTGTAGTCTTTGAAGAGGCCAGAAAGGACTTATCCTTTTAAACCTGAGCAATTCACTGTTTAAAAATATATATATTTTATTTTGAAATACTATATATAGGCTCATAGGAGGTTACAAAGAAATGTGCACCCAGTCCTCCCGATACATTAGCATCTTATTCACTGTAGCTCAATATCAACACCAAGAAATTGATGTTGGTACAGTCCATAGAGCTCACTCAGATTTCATCAGTTATACATGAACTCATTTGTGTATGTAGTGTGTATGTGTGTATATGTGTGTGTACTCTACAATTTTATCACATTGTAGTCTTGCACAACCACTGTCACAAATAAAGATATGCGACTGTACCATCACCATAAGGTGATGGTGCTACCCCTTTATAGCCACACAATTCCAAACCCTAACCCCTGGCAACCACTAATATGCTGTACATCTCTATAATTACGTTATTTCATAAATGTTACATAAATGGAATTATGCAGTGTGTATCCTTTTGAGGTTGACTTTTTTTTTCACTCAGCATAATTTCCTTGAGGTTCATCCAAGTTCTTGCATGTGTCACTCATTCATTTTTTTTTTTTTTTTTTAGGTAGTATTCCTTGGTATATATACACCATAGTTTATTTAATCATTTACCCTCTGGAGGACATTTAGGTATTTTCTAGTTTGGGGCTATGATGAATAAAACTGCCATAAACATTTGTGTGCAAGTTTATGTGTGGAAATGTTTCCATTGCTCTGGAATATATGCCTAAGAGTGAGAATGCTTGTCACATGGTAAGTCCATTTTCAGTTTTGAACGGAACTACCTAACCATTTTTCAAGAGTGGCTCTACATTTTACATTCGCACCAGCATTGTATGAATTAGTGGTGTTATTACTATTTTTCATTTTAGCCATTCGTATAGGTGTGTAACGATATCTCATAGTTTCAATTTGCATTTCTCTAAGGGCTGATGACGTTGAACATCTCCCAACAGCACACCTTGTGTGACAGACAATATTTCCAAAAATGCCAACAACAATACTGTCCAGCCCCTGAGATCTTCTTGACATATGATTCAATTCTCCTCCCACTCAGGAGAGTTTCATGTTCCTTCCCGCTGAATCTGGAAGGGCTGTGATCATGGTAAAAGTGACACTATGTGACTTTGAGGTCATAAAAATGCCATACTTCTACCCTGTTTTCTTGAGACACTCACTCATGGAATCCAGCCTCCATGCAGTAAGGAAGGCCACATGGTAGGTGTTCTGGTGGAAAGTTCCAGCTCAGCATCCAGCCAACAGTCAGCACTACATTCCTGACATATGTCTGAGGAAGATTTCTAGATGCACCATCTAACAAGTCAGAGCAGTACTGGCTGGCTGAGCCCAGCCAACTCTCAGTCATGTGAGAATGTGAAAATAACTTTTGACTTAAGACCTAAGGTGATTTGTTATGATAATAAATGAATATGTCTTCTGCACTATAGAATGCTATAGAAGCTCCAATAGATTAGTATAAATTGTACTCTCAGCCTTTTCTTGTAGTCACACTCCATCTCTGTTCTGTTTTTTAAGGAAAAAAGTTTCCTTTCTCTATAGAAACTGGAGTCAATATGGCACCTTGTTCTTAAATCTGGATGAGCTCACCCTGGCCAACGTGGCTGAGAGTCAGGCTCCTCTCCACATGCTGTGTTCCTTCTTCCTGGAACACTCTCATCCCTGAAGGCCACAGGCCCCGCCCCTCACGTGTCTCTGCTGTCACCACCCCACTGCGGAGGGGCCTTCTCTGACCGGCCTCTACAGACCCTCTACTCTCCACCCTCCACCTTCTTTAGTCTACTTAAGTTAATTAATCATAGAAAACTTAGAATGTATCACCCTGCAATCTGGTGGTGATTTTATTTGTATGTTTATCAATTTGTTGATTATCACACTCCCATTCTCCAGATAAACTGAATGAAATTAGTGATTTTGCTTTATTCATCCTTAGGACCTAGCACTGACCTGGCACAGAATGACGTTTAGCTCATATTTATTGGATGAGTGAGTGAACAAACCATTCAGACTGAAAGCACTGAGGATGTGCCAGTCCCTGTGAGCTCTGCTGGGTGCGTGGAAACTAAAGAAATGTTTGAAATGGAGATTCTGCCCTCAAGAGTGACACTGAATGATCTAGCCTTTCATATATTGTGGGGAGGGGAGATCTTTAAGTAAGCTAATTAAATAATAAACTGTCTTTGTCTCACATCTGATTTTGACATCTGACAGGTACTCACAACAAGGGTGAGCCTACACCCTCAATCTCTAAAAGCAAGGAAAGAAAGCCTGGCAGAAACTGTCCTGAATTTTTTTTCCTGTAAGCTCCAGTCCCCAGAGCCAATGTGTGGACCAGTTCAATGCTCAGCAATGCTCAGTTCTGAGGCCATGGGACCTTGCCCTGGTGCTTTTCTGAGTCAGGCCAGGAGAGAGTTCTAGCCCTTTTCCTATAGCTCCCCTGCTCTATGGGAGATGCTGCAAAATGGCCACATGGTCTTCCCCTCTCTGTATCCACATGCCTTTGGATGCAACTTTGCATCTTCTCCCATCAAGAGGCAATGGTGTTTATGGTGTTATTTCCCCACCCCTTGCATCTAGGCCCAGTTACCTCTACTACCACTGCTGAGATCCAGCCAACCACCAGGCTCATTAGTGAGGCTGTCAACCCCAAACTGACCACAAATGCAAGAGTGAGCTCAGCTGATGTCACGTGGAGCAGAGGTAAGCTCTCCCAGCTGAGGTCAGTGCAAAAGTCGACTCACAGAATTGTGAGCAAATAAATGGTTCTGGGTTTAAGCCACTAAGTATTGAGTGGTTTGTTGTGTAGCAAAAACTGACTGATACATACTCCTGTACGCTCTTAAAAAAAAGTTCAGCCAGAGTAATGCAGAAAGCAGGACTTAAAACTGCCCATTAAACATAATACTAAGTTGGTAAATTATGTGTGTGTGTATGTTTATATATATATATATATATATATATATATATATTTAGGAAATGGGATTATGGGTGATTTTTTCTTTTAAGGGCTTCAAATGCTTGGCTTATTTATTTATTTATGGCCGTGTTCGGTCTTCATTTCTGTGCGAGGGCTTTCTCTAGTTGTGGCGAGCGGGGACCACTCTTCATCGCGGTGCGCGGGCCTCTCACTCTCGCAGCCTCTCTTGTTGCGGAGCACAGGCTCCAGACGCGCATGCTTAGTAGTTGTGGCTCACGGGCCTAGTTGCTCCGCACCATGTGGGATCCTCCCAGACCAGGGCTCGAACCTGTGTCCCCTGCATTAGCAGGCAGACTCTCAACCACTGTGCCACCAGGGAAGCCCCATGGGTGATTTTTATTTTATTCTTTATACTTTTCTGAATTTGCTGAATTTTCCACAATAAAATTGACAATCTTTTTAAAATAAAAGAAGAAAAGACAAAGTTCTTGGGTAGTTTCTTCTGGTTGCCCTCTGATCATTCCTGGGCAAATTCTGATGTGACATGAACGTTTTCCACGTGACTGAGGATGCTAGGTGGTAAAAGACAGGTGCATTAAAGGGACAGCTGGCTCCACTCATCACAAGGCTATTACATCTGCTGGGAGAGTCAGGAAGATTAAAAGGGTCTAAATAGGGGGGAAAAAATCTATGCTTCAAAACTCTTCCATCTAACTAAGCCTTCCTGGCAATGTCAACTCATGCATTCCTTGGCTGTTGTATTCTATCTGGTGTGTCTGATGAGTTTCAAGTGAATCCCCTGAGCAGGCTGCAATGATGGGAAATGCAGATATCTGGGCCTGGGGATACACTAGTGTGATGGATATCTTCTGTTTGTCCTTTCAGATCTGGGAGCCCTGAGCCCTGGGAGGCCAATCTGTATTGACCATTGATGGCTTCTGATTGGACTCAGTCAATGGGGAGCACCAGTAGGAGACTGGAAGGAAGGAGCAGAGTGAGGTTCGGGTACTTATTGGCCCAGCTCCCATCCAACAGGTTCACTATGGTCTGGTTTCCACTGAAGATCAGAGCTCCTGCCAGGCAGCCCTCTCCACACAACAATCTCTATTTCAAGATTCCAGTAACTAGTTCTGCACCTCACCTCTTCGGTCATGGGGTCATAAGAGTGGTGTTCCATTCTAGAGACCTATGCTGGTCCTCATGACAGTTCCTTTTGGCTTTTCTACGTCTCATCTGCCCACACCTTTATTAAACTCTCCTCAAAGCACTGGAATTTGTCATCTGTTTCCTGCAGTGACTCTGAGAGATACTGCAGACATGCATAGTCACACGAACAGAGTGGACACAGTCCTAGAAAAGTCATTTTCTCTCCAATGAAAATAAGAATGTGGCAGAAAAATAAAAGAAATTTCTATTGTTTCTATTACTTCCTGCACTTACTGTTAAGGCAGAAAATTATCTGTCAAATTCAGCTCACAGATAGTTCTAAATGACAGGATGACACAGAGGATGGTAATTTCTTTTTCAAATGCCTCCTGGGAAGGGGAGTGGGTGACTTGCGACTAAGGAAAATTAGAATTATGAGAAAGTGTTCTTAGGAATATAATACCTGTAACAGGTGAAATGGCAAGGTAAACCAGGGAGGGACCCAACATGAAAATCTTACCCGGCCATCACTTGTCAGCAGGATGGAGTCACTCTTTATGTCCCTGTGAATCACTCCTTGGTTGTGCAGGTAGGAAAGAGCCCTTAGAACTGACAGACAGACAGTAGCTATTTGTTCTTCATTCATTCTAGAAAGGAAATCACATTGAAGGAGAAAGGTCAGCCTTAAGACCATCTTTGAAATGATCAAGAGAGGTGGCTCCCTTGTGTTCTAGAGAACCAGTCCATGCTCCCCAGCCCATGTCTCGAAAATCTATGGGAAAGGAAAAGGAAGTCTTTGGGACCTGATTCCCAGAACCTAAGGCCTGGCATTGAGGATGATAGGGGCTCAGTATAAGCTAAAGTAAAGAGACCCCCATTGGCTGGCTTTTGGGTCATCAGTGCAAATGCACTTCCTTGGACTCTTATAGGTAATTCCCCACGTACTGACAAACCTCCAGGGTCCTACAGAGAGGGCACACTGAATGACGCCAAAGTTCCAGGAGGGGCTGCTAGATGACCTTGAGGAAGTCCTTTAACTTCCTCGGGTTTCTTTTTCCTCATCTTGGAAGTGGGCAAGGCCATGGTTCTCTTCAAGGTTGGACTCAGGCAAGGTGGTCTTTAGATCTCTAAGATCCCCCTCTGGGACTTGCCCTGCCTCTCACCAGCCCTTCCTCTCCCTCCTCCAGGAGCTGGAAGCTTCTGTTACTCCAGGTCCCTCTGTCAAGAAGGAAATTGGGCCTAGTTAGTTACTAATAACCAAGTGTGAATGCGTGATACCCTAATAAATAGACCATGGGAATGAGAAAGGCAAGCACAACACTGGATATGCTCCCCCATTTCATGGCTGCACCCTCCGAAGAAGGTATTTCTGGTTTCAGAAGAGACTGAGGTCAGGTGACCTGCCCAAGGTTATATAGCTCAGAGGGTAACCAGATCATGATTCAAACCCCACCTTCTATGAATTCAAAACCCATGCTTTTCCACTTTCCCCACTGTATCATGCAGCAATTGTAACTCAAAAGAATGGATTTTCAGCCACTGAAGAACCCAGGTGGGAAGAATGATGTGGAGAATGGAGTCCCTCAGTGCACTCAAAATGACCCATTTAGGCATCTGCCTAACTCATCTAGGCATAAAACTTCCTCCCTCTCACGGAGATATTGAGAGGCCCAAATTAGGTAGCAAATGTGAAAGACCTCCTAAAACAAACTATCAGGCAAACAGAGGAGGCTATCAGGAGACACACTTCATAACTGACCAGAGCCCAAATTTAAGAATTGACTTGGGAAATGATCCCAGGTAACTTTTAGCTCAGCAGGACAAGTAAATAGATGGCCTTGAATCTGCGTTTCAGTCTTGTTGATGCCAACAAACCCCAGCTGAGTAAAACTAGGGTTCAAAAAAAATCCAAGGAGATAACCAATCAGGAGAATGTCAAAGGTACAAAGTGGATGAGTATGAAGAAACATGCCCTTCTCTTTGAAGAGGAGCCCTACCACCACAATGAATTGGCCTCATAGGAAGGCAGGTGTCTGAAACAGAGTAGAAACCTACAACTTCTGTGTTCTTGGTTTTGTGGTAAGTGGGCTGGTCATTATGCTGGATTGTTTTCAGATGACAATTTTCACATCTGCCCAAACCACACTCCTGAGAGGTTTAGAGCATCAGCCACAGGGACAAGTCCAACTACATCTTAAAATTAATTGAGGACCAAGAATTATCATCTTTAATAAAATAAAATCCATTTTTCTTGGATTCAATGAGATTTCAGTTATTTGGAGCAGGCATAAAGATTTTTCACAGGTCAAAGGTAACAAAAATTAATTGACTCTGAGCCCCCAATCACAAACTGAAAGATCTCCTGGAATTTATAACAAATGCCTCTGACTCTTAATTCAATGACTTTGAAAAGGACATGGTCCACTGTAGAAAGCCTGGTGCTTTCCTACTTCAGCAGGGAGGAAGTCAGGTGGGGATAAAAACACCTCAGTTTTGGAGTCAACTCCAAATTCAAATCCTGGCTCTGCCAATTATTAAATACGTGATCTTGAGAAAGATACTTTTTGCCTCTATGAGTCATAGCTTCATCCTCTAACATCAACACCTACCTTATAGAGATGTGTGAAGGTTACATGAGTTAATGTAAGAACCTGACAGAGCTTGGTACTTTCCTCTCCCTTCTAGAACTGTTTCCTTGAAATAAGTAGGATATGATTTAACAAGATGCTAGATAGGGCTAAAACATTAGTATGTATAAGAAACTCCTGAGGGGACTTCCCTGGTAGTGCAGTGGTTAAGAATCCACCTGCCAATGCAGGGGACACATGTTCGCTCCCTGGTCCGGGAAGATCCCACATGCCGTGGAGCAACTAAGCCCATGCACCACAACTACTGAGCCTGTGCTCTAGAGCCCATGTGCCACAACTACTGAGGCTACCCGCCACAACTACTGAAGCCCGTGTGCCTAGAGCCCATGCTCTGCAACAAGGGAAGCCACCACAATGAGAAGCACGGGCACCGCAACGAAGAGTAGCCCCTGCTCGCTGCAACTAGAGAAAGCCCGTGCGCAGCAACAAAAACTCAACACAGCAAAAAAATAAATAAATAAAATAAATAAATTAAAAAAAAAGAAACTCCTGAGCATCTGGCTAGATCATGGATTCTTTTAGTCCATCTGGGTAGAGCCTGAGATGCTGTATTTCTAACAAGCTCTTAGGGGATGTTGATGCTGCTGGTCCCCAGACCACACTTTGAGTGGCAAGCAGTTAAATGTTTTATCAACCAATCAATCAATCATTCAATGAAGTACTTATTGAATATCTACTATAGGAAACTCTCTGAACTACCAGCTTAAGGATTTCAAATTCTAAATATCCATGGTATTCCTTGACACACAATTGCTTCTTGCTCTCTGGAACTACTCTGCCTTCAAGGGGAAATCCATCGACAAAACTAGATGGAGAGAATTAGAAAACACAATGGATTCTAGAGAGGCTGGCTCTTCAGTGAATCCCACGGATACAAAATAAGAACTTGACAAAGTGAGAGCTGTAGTTTTCTGATGCTCTCTGAGGCAAGAAAAAAGCCCCTCCCTTAGACATATTTTTATTAATTGTTTTATATGTAGGTCACATTTGTCTTATTCGTAGGTCTCTTCAGTATACTTGTTGCTACAATTTAAGATGATTAGATAGATAGATAGATAGATAGGTATGGTGGTTGTATGGCTATACCAATAGGAATCTGCCAGCCGAAATGTTGGTGATAAACATTTGGTGTCTTCCCTCATGTCCTTTTGTTTTTAGATGGTCTACCGCAGACTCAGAGCTATAGGGAGTCATGATTGAAACACTGCCTCATTTTAGCAGAGAAAAAGCAGCACCTTCGATCCCTTACGGGTTTCTGAACACTTTCTTGCTACCTTGCTTTCCACCTATTGTCGCTCAACTGGATTCACTTATGATTTGGATGCCATTTCAGTGACATCAGCTAATACCCAATGTAGCTCCTTCATGACAATCTTCTCAAATCTTTGGTATTTTATTTACCAGCAGAGCAAACTTAAAGTTTCCCAAATGTAACATGATTTTTTTTACACATCTGTTCCTTTGAACCTTGCTTTTCCAGCGCAGTCCATGAACTAACAGCATTAACATCGCCTGGGGGTTCCTTAGAATGCAGAGTATTATGCCTCCCCCCCATTGAATCAGGATCTGCATTTTAATAAGAGCCATAGGTAATTTGTATGCATATTAAAATTTTAGAAGCACTGTCTTAGCACATACTCTTTTCATTTGCCTTCAATGCCCTTTTCTTCCCACTTGCCTTCTTAGTAAACTCTGATGCATCTCTCAAAACCCATCCTGGACACCACCGTATATTGGAAATGCTTCTTGACTCTCTTATAGAGATATTCAGGTATTCTTCTATGCTACTTATATAATTCTAATTCTGCACAGGTGTTATAATGTATTTATTTCTAATCTGAGACTTCCTTGGAAGGGTGTATCTGAGCCTTATTCATTTGTATCTTTTGTAGCCCCAGCACTTAGGAAAGAGCCTGGCACATAAAAAGTGATTAATAAATACTTGATGAAATGACCACAACTGACACATCAGAGAAGCAAGTAGCTGAGGCAACAGTGGCAAGCAACCATTGTTACTTGCAAGATGATTTAAAAACAGATTTGAAGAATCTCTCTCTCTCTTATGTAGTTTGTTATTATGACATAAAATTTTGATCTTTCACCTGCCCCTGCCTTCCCCAGGTACCCTTGGTGGTATCAACACATAGCAATGGTATAGCAACTTAGGAGAATGAAACTCAGTTTTAGAAATCTACGCAGGGATGGGAAATTCTATTATTTGTCACCGAAACTCCATTCTCAGCAGCTTGCTGATTTAAAATCAGTGAGTACCAATGAACTTCTGGAGGGCAGGGAGAATGTGAATTGAGTGAATGAACTATACATACATGATATTGTGATAGGCACCTGGGAATACAGAGAAAAAGGGCAGTCGTTTCTCTACCTTCAAAGTGCTTAACTACTTATGAAGAGTTCATAAATATAGTTACTGAGGCCTTACCCTGGAAAAGAATAATAAGCACCTTGAACTACTTGCCTGGATAGTAAAGAAACTTACCTGGTATGAGTAACGATGTCTGTCAAGGCACCACCTTCTAGAAATTCCATGACAACCCAGAGCTCATCATTGACAAGGTAGCTGCTGTACATGTCAACCACATTGTCATGGTGATAATCCCGCATTATCACAACCTGGGCAAAATAGAAAGACACTGTTTCACTTCGGACCGTGAAATTTGACTTTTTGTTTTCTCATGACTACATTTGGGCTGTGAGTTCAACTGATGGGAAGTACTGATTGTGTGTGTGGGGGGGTATTCAGAAGTCTATTACAGACAAAGGGACAGCACTGAGAGCAGCTGGCAGGAATAGAGGGGATCAAGTTAGCAAATTCAGAGAAAATGGCAGGTCAACAGGACACTGGGTTGGGGGAGAATACGGGGTAAAAACAGGCAGAACCATGGCAGAGTTTGCATTCACAAGAGTGAGTTTAGTTGAATGTTTGGGGGGATGTGATCAGATATCCCATAGGTTACTTTTAAAACACATTGTCCACACTCTGCTATTGGGCAAAAGTGTCACCAACTCAAGGTAAGTGAGTCTCAGAAGTGACTGAAGTAAACAGTTATTAGGGCTGGGGCCACATGACACCAATCTAACTTCTTGGGAGGTCTAGGCTGAGTCTGAAAGAGTTTGTGCTGAATACAAAGGATAAGTCTTGAAGGTAAAAACATTATGACTTAGGCATTAAAAGGCCAACTTGTGTCTGCTTGCTGGAGAGAGCATCCAGGAATTGCCATCCTGTGGCCGCTTCTGGTGATATTTTCAGAATGAGTGCTAAATAATAAATTATACAGTTGTTTAAGTTATATTTTCCCTGTCTGTTCTGGCATTGTGGTTTGGAAATAAGTTCCAGAAATCAGGAGCTGTGGACTGGGAAGAAACTGAATCCCACTCACCCCATGCTCTCTGTGAGGTTTGGAGCATGGAAAAGAAATGAACACCTATGGGAGTTGGAGCAGGGTGGAGCCTTCACATAAGCCATCACGGAAGAGGATCCAAAGTCACAGCTGATTGCATTGTTACAGCTGTATGAACCTACTGACCCCGGTTTAGTAACATAATCTGATGCTAGGTTTCCTTATTGCTAAATGGAGATAACATTTTTCTGTCTATGGCTATTGTGAGAATCAAACCAGACCAATGCTTAGCACAGTGGCTGATCCACAGGAAGTACTTCATAAAGAGGCAGCCATACAGGCATAGAAAAAGGGATGCTATTTTTGTATTTATATTTTCTGTGTTTTCTAATGTCCTAAAATGTATATGTGTTATTTCTGAAATGGGAAAGAAATGTTACATAGGACAGAAAGGATGATCCGAACACACCATCTACCTCATTAAAAAGCAGCTCTCGTCTCTGTTGTTTTCGGAGGTCCATTTTCTTCACGGCGACTTGCTTCCCCGTGTGTTTCTCAGTGGCGATGCACACAATGCCGGTTGACCCTTCCCCGATTTTGATAAAGTTGTCCAAATATTCTCTGGGGTCTCCTGGGCTGACCACCAGCTGCAGGGCTGCCCGGAACTGTTCGTGGGACACCCTGGAGGGCTGCTGGTCTGAGGAGGAGCCCCAGCTGGGTGGGGGGTAGGTGCTAGATGAGATGCTGAGAGAGCTCAGGTAAGAAGCTGTGGAGATGTACTGCGAACTGGTCTGGAGGGAGGGGTGGTGGTACAGGGTGGCTGTGTGGTACCCAGATGGGTACTGGTGGCTGCTTGAGGAATAGCCTGCTTTGCTTTGACTTTGAGGTAGTTTGGCAGGGCCCCTGGGGTAGGTGTCGGACCCTGACAGTGGAGGGCTGAGGACCACCTGTGCTCGATCATAATCCACCTGGGAAGACAGACACAGATGGAGAAATTCACACGCTACATCTGAATACCATAGCCATCACACAGCTGGTCCAAATGATGAGCACCACTGCACAACCCACTCGTGGGTGAGACTTACCTCGTGGGGTCCCAGGATGCATCGCTTCCACCCTTTATCTGCCCTCCGACCTCCGCATCCTGCCTATTTCTTCCTCCTTCCCTAATAAAATCCCCAGAAGTAGACTCTGAGACCTGGATTAGAATGCAAGTAGTAGGAGGTGATCCCAGGAGTTATGAAGGGGAAAACGCCAATACAGTAAGTCCCCTACATACGAATGAGTTCCATTCCGAGATCGTGTTCATAAGTCCAATTTGTTTGTAAGTCCAACAAAGTTAGCCTAGGTACCCAACTAACACAATCGGCTATATAGTACTGTACTGTAATAGGTTTATAATACTTTTTACACAAATAATACATAAAAACAAACAAAAAATAAACATTTTTCATCTTACAGTGCAGTACCTTGAAAAGTACAGTAGTTACAGTACAACAGCTGGCACACAGGGGCTGGCATCGAGTGAACAGGAAAGAAGGGTTACTGACTGGAGGAGGGAGAGGAGGTGGGAGATGGTAGAGCTGAAGGATCGTCAGCAATAGGAGATGGAGGGCAAGCTGCAATTTCACTCACGCCTGATGTGGATGACACGGGTTCTGGTTCCTTGCTGGATTCAATTCTACCTACCGTCTTGAAAAATAAACGATCCAGTGATGTCTGGGTAGTAGCTCTTTTTTCTCATCTTAGATGATGCGGTAGCACTGGATTGCATTCTGAGCGGCTGCTGCAACTTTGGTGTACCATTCTATGTTCGGGTCCTGTGTCTCAAAAACTAACAGTGCCTCCTCAGATTAAGAAAATCCCCTTGCCATTTCCTGCATCATGAAACTCTTCAGTTCTTCAGTTACTTCTTCCTCTTGTCTCTCTTTGTCATTTCTCTGGGCCTCCAATTCCATAAGGTCTTCATTAGTAAGCCCCTCATGTTGCACAGCAAGAAGTTCAATGAAGTTGTCCTCTTGCAGATCTAGCTCCAGCTTCTCACTGAGGGTCACTAAGTTGCTGAAAACCTCTTTGGACTCCTCATCCACATTCTCAAATCCATGAAAATCGTGAACAAACTGTGGGCAAAGGCTCTTCCAAACCCCATTCATGGTGACAGCTGTAACCTCACGCCAAGCAAAGTTAATGTTTTTTATGGCCTTGTAGATGTTAAAGTCCTTCCAAAATTGTTGCAGGGTTGTTCCTGATTCATCACTCGCCTTAACTGCCTGACAAAAAGTGTGACGTACATATTTCTTGAAAATCACAATAACTCCCTGGTCCATGGGTTGGATGAGCGACATAGAATTTGGTGGCAGATGCACTACTTTGATGTTGGGGTGAAAGTCGTCCATGAATGGGGGGCGGCCTGGAGCACTGTTGAGAAGCAAAAGAATGTTGAATGGGACATCTTGCTCCAAGCAAGATTTCTCTACCTCCGGGATAAAGTGGTGGAAAAATCAGTCCTGGAAAATGGCGTGTGTAACCCAGGGTTTGGGGTTACTCTTCCACACAACAGGAAGGGAGCCCTGGGCTATGTTTTTAAGGGCTCTTGGGTTCTCTGAATGATAAACTAAGACAGCCTTCAGCTTCATATTGCCGAAAGCATTGCCACCAAACAACAGAGTTAGCCAGTCCTTTGCTGCTTTATAACCTGGCATCAACTTTTCTTTCTTATTGATGTAACTTTGGTCTGGCGTCCTTCTCCAGTACAGTACTGTCTCATCCACATTAAGAATCTGCTAGGGGAAATATGCTCCTTCATCAATAATTTCTCAAAGTGTTTTAGGAAATTCCCAGGCAGCTACCACATCTGCACTTGCTGCCTCGCCACTTACCTTTACGTTGTGAAGGTTGGCTCTAGCCTTGAACCAATGAAACCAGACGTGGCTGGCATTAAAAGATGCGCCCTCTGATTCTTCACTGTGTTTCTTCTTCAAGTCTTCATAAAGGCTTTTGGCTTTCTCTTGAATCACCATTAAGCTGAGCAGGACTCGACACTGATGCGATCCTGCATCCGCACACTGAGAAGTTTCTCCATCTCCTCCGCCACTTTTCGACGCTCCTTCGATATTGCTGGCGACATCAGCAGCACAGCAGACTTCACGTGTCCCATGATCTTGTCCTTGTTCTTCAGAATCATGCCAATGGTTAAACAATTCATGTTATAAGAACTAGCGGTGTCTACCATCTTATTTTGCCTCGCTTCACTCAATTATTTTCACTTTTGTTTCCATCGTTATCGCTTGGCGCTTCTTAGCAGTACCAGCTACATCACTGCTGCTTTTACACTTGCTTCTGGACATCCTGGGCTTGAAATAAAGATACTGTACAGTACAGTACACAAAAGCACAACCACTTGTAGAGGATGTATGCATGTGACAATGTGCACCAGACATGTGAACTAACTTACGTGACTGGACATACGAATGCACGTTCACATCTTTGAAAGCTCACAACTTGAAGGTTCGTATGTAGGGGACTCACCAAATACGTAAAAGGGGCAACCTAACTCCCTGTGCAAAGCAGCTTTTCGGACAATAAGATAAACACATACAAATCAGTATAAATGTATAATGTTTGAGAAAATCCAAAATCTGCAGGGCTGTGTGTGTGAAAGAGAAATCTGCTCAGCCCTTAAAAGGATTCAAGGCAAGAACATTCTACTCTGATTGTGAAGAGTGGATTGAGGGAACTTAGTGGAGAGGATGGGGAGGACACACAGGGCAGGGGTGGGGGAAGCCAGTGAGGGGCTGCCATGACACTAGGTGTAAGTTCCAGCAATCACTCTCTGGAAAAGTCAGGAAGGAGCTCTGGTCACCCGTGGAATGACTGAGGTCAGGGATGGTGAATATACCACATCATACCACGCTCGCCTCCTTGCCCAAAGCAGAAAGTGCTAATAGATGAATACACTCTTTTGTGTAAGATCCTGATGATAACGAGAGTGTTGGATACATAGAAGGTGTTTGAAAAAGATTCATTGATTGGACCTCCAGCTCCTTCTTAACACAGAGTCCCAGGAAGTCTCTTCCACTCTACCAGGATGTACATGGAATGACATTTACACGCCCACTCCAAGGATCCAGATTTGCTCTAAAATGATGGTTGCTGGCTACACATGACTATTTAATTAAAATCAATAGAAATTAAAAGTTAAAATAAAAAAATCCTTTCCTCACTCATATTAGTCACATGTTAGGTATTTAAGAGTTACCACGTTGGACAAGATATAAAATATTTATAGAACATATAGAATATTTCCACCATCGCAGAATGTTCTATCGGGTGGCACTGTTCTAGTTGAAGTCATTGCTCCCACGTGGTCCATTCATTCATTTGTTTAGTGCACAGATTAATATTTAAGGAACCATTATGTGCTAGGCACCATTTCAGGTGCTGTGGGAAGGTCCAGCAATAATCATAATGGATGGTATTTCTGTTGTCCTGGAGTTGACATTCTAGAGAAGGAGACGGATGATAAACAAGAAAATCAATAAATATACAGTATGTGGTCCAGTAGCAATAGGTGATATGAAGAAAAATAAAGCAGAACAAGGGGATTGAGAATAACAAGGTGCCATCTTGCATGGGATGGCCAAGGAAGGCCTTTCTGAGAGGTGTAGCATGAGCAGAAACCTGGCTGAAGTGTGGGAGCAAGCCCTGTGACTGTGGGGGGCAGGGGTAGTCCAGGCAGAGGGCACAGCACACGCAGGATTCTGAGGCACACACAGGCTTGAGGAACAGCTTGGAGGCTCTCCTGGTGCAGAGAGGAGGCAGTTTGGAAAGACAGAGAGAGAAGTGGTGAGGGGGCAGATCATACAGACCATGGCAAGGATGCTGGCTGTTGCTGAGGGAAGTGGGAGCCACTGGAGGTTGCTAAGCAGAGGACAGTGATATGAACTTGACTCTCTGGATGCTGGAGAAGAGGCTTTGGTGGCAAGGGTGGAAACAGGGTTGCCAGTTAGCTTACTGCAGTCAATATGGGCAGAGATGAGGGTGGGTGCTCTAGATGGGGTGAGAAATGGGATCCAGAGTAGAGTCTGAAGATGGAGCTGATCCAATTTTCTGATGGATTGAATATGAAGGAGAAGAATCAAAAATGACTCCCAGGATATTATGCTGAGGAGCAAGCCACTTAATAATATGAGGAGCATAGGGGCAGGAGCAGGCTTCTCAGCTGTGAATCAGCCTCCAAGATGGTTCCCAGTGATTCCTGCCTCCTGACATGAATGTGTAGTCTCCTCCCCCATTGTATCAGGTTGATCTGTGAGCAAAAGAATATGGTGGAAGTAATAGTAAGTGTCCTCTGAGGCCAAAAAAAGACATTGTGGCTTCTCTGCCTTCTCTCTTGGATTGCTTGCTCTGGCTTTCTCCAGCTGCCATGTCGCGAGGACACACCAAACCCTATAGAGAGGTCCTCCTGCCAAGAGCCAGCTAGAAACTGAAGTCTGCCACCAACAGCCATGTGCGCCATCTTGGAGGTGATCCTCTGGCCCCAGTCAAGCCTTCAGATGATTGCAGCCCTGCTGACCTCTTGACTGCAACCTCATGACAGACTCAAGGTCAGAATCACCTAGTTAAGCTAGCCATGGAAACCCACAGAAACTGTGTGAGGTAATAAATGTTCATTGTTGTTTTAAGCCATTAAGTTTGGGGATGATTTGTTACACAGCAATAGATAACTAAAACATAGGGTGAAACCCAGAGTTCCATCATGGCCACATTAAGTTTGAGAGAGCTATTAAGCATCCAAGCAGAGATGCCGCTTAGGTGACTTAGACATGACTCCAGTCCACAGGAAAGTTGACATTAAAGACATGAATCTGAGAGTCATCAGTATTTAGCTGGTGTTAAAAGCCATGGTGTTGAATGTGTAAGAGAAAATCCAAGGACTACGACATCTAGAGACTAAAAAGAGGAGAAG